CAAAAGGAGGGACCTTTGAATCTTATATGAAGATGGCATGGCTGTCTTTTGCTAGTAAAGCAGGTGGTTTTTAAAAGTGCTTTTAAGTTCTTCTGTTAAGAGTAGCAGGTATAGAGATGATTTCTCATTGACAGAACTCAGTTCACTCTCACTAATGAGGTCTGGCAACCTCTTCTTGCTGCCAAGACTTTGCGGTATGGGTAAGTTTCTGGTTTTCTGCATGTATGTTAGAACTTTAATTTACCTCCCACAGATACAATGTCTGTGCTAGCCTACAAAACCCCATTTTAACTGATGGAAATTCCAGTTATTGAGGAGTGAAGAGGTTGACAAATTTTCTCCCCAAAAAACAGCTATAGAACTGGATGAACTTGTCAAAACCATTTTAATGGGTGCTGGAAATTGACCAAAAGCAAACAACAATTTGAGAACCATTTATTCATTAAAAAACTGCTGACCTTTGAATTACAACAGTGGGAATCTGTGGTGTTCTTGCCTGAGGTTACTTCCATTCCTCATTCCCTGGCACGCTAATTCTACTAGTGCAGGGCTGGCCGTGAAAACAGCGGCTTTGATACCAAAGGCGACTGACTTGATTTGGAGTGGAGGGCAGGAAACCTGTGCAGTGGCTAACAGAGAATGCCTCCAACTTGCCTGTCCTGAGGATGTAGGCCATACATTGAGAGATCCTGGAAATGAGAGAGCTGTAAAGGGACTTCAGAAGATCTCCACACGACCCTGGCAGACTAGAGGCTGCATCCATGCACAGAGGAGGCCCAAGAGAACCTGGGGGAGAGTAACAGCTGGGACAGACTTGAAAACTGCTGGACCGTTGAATGAGCTCTCCAACCCCCACGTAGATCAATTGGCAGAGGGCAGAAGCCTTACTGGCTGAAGATGTTTGAGCACAAATTCTGACTAATCATTGGCTGGCCACTGAGATATGCAGACGCAGGGGTGACCGTGAGAGCAAGGCTGAAAAATAAAACCAAGAACTAGAAAAACTGAGCAGAGACATCAGCCCCTACGTACTATGGGTGAGAGAGATTCAGCAGATTAAGTCCTTGCTAAAAAACAAGCAAACAAGGGCTGGCTCCATGGCATAGTGGTTAAGTTCAGCACACTCCACTTTGGTGGCCTGGGTTTGCGGGTTCGGATCCCAGGCGTGGACCTACACCACTCGTCAGCCATGCTGTGGCAGTGACCCACATACAAAATAGAGGAAGATTGGCACAGATGTTAGCTCAGGGCTAATCTTCCTCAAGCCAAAAAAAAAGGAAGATTGGCAACAGATGTAGCACAGGACCATTCTTCCTCGGCAACAAACAAACAAACAACAGCACAACAACAATGCTCAAGGAAAAAAAGACAATCAAAACTGAGTTACTGTATTATTTAATGTGTCCAGTTTTAAACAAAAAATTAGGAGAAACATGGAAAAAAAGCACTCAATTGAAACTGTCTCTAAATGGACCCAGGTATTGAATTTACCAAACAATTCAAAGCAGCTATTATAAATATGTTCAAAGAATTAAAAGAAGATATGATGACCATGACTCAACAAATAGGGAATATCAGTGAAGAAATAGAAACTATTAAAAAGAACCAAATGAAAGTCCTAAAGTTGAAAAGTAAATAAGCAAAATGAAAAATTTACTAGATATGCTACATAGTGATTTATGATGGCCAAAGAAAAAATTAGTAAACTTAAAAATGGATAAATAGATCTTAGCCAGTCTATAGAACAGATATAAAAATATTGAAGAAAAAGAAACAGCGTTGGAGACCTGTGGGACAATGTGAGATATACTAATATACGAGTAATGAGAGTTCCAAAAGGAGAGTAGAGAGAGAAAGGAACAGAAAAAACATTTGAAGAAATAATGGCCAACAGTATCCCAAATTTGGTGAAAAATATTACTCTATAGATCCGAGAAGCTCAATAAACCAAAGTAGGCTAAACAAACAGATCTTCACTAAGATCCGTTATAGTCACACTGTTGAGAGACAAAGACAATGAGAACATCTTGAAAGCAATAAGAGAAAAACAAACAACTCATTACATACAGAAGAACAATACAATTCTTACCAGAAACAATGGAGGCCAGAAGGAAGTGAAATGACATATCCTAAGTACTGAAAGAAAAATTTTCAACCACAAGTTCCATTGTCCAGCAAGATTATCCTTCAAAAATGAACATGAGATAAAGACATCCCTAGATAAACAAAGACCTACCTTCCTTCAAAAGGAAGCCTTTCAGGTTGAAAGGTAGTGTAACAGATAGTAACTTGAATCCACAGGAAGAAACGAAGAGCTCTGGAATTGGTAAATATGGGGGTAAATACAAAAGATGGTATATGTATAAATTCTCTTTTCTTAATTTCTTTAAAGGACATAAGGCTATATAAAGCAATAATTATAACACTGTATTATTAGGATTATAACATATATAGATGCCATACATATGATAATAGCACAAAGAACGAGGGAGAAAATGGAGCTGTATTGGAGCAAACTTGCTATATTTTATCAGAATTAAGTCAGTATTAACTTGAAGTAGATTGTGATGCATGTTGTAATCCCTAGAGCAATCACTAAGAAAATAACAAAAAAGTACATAGTGAAAAAATCAACAGAGGAATTAAAAAAGTATGCACCATTTTTTTTTAAAATAAAAAGGCAGGGGGCCGGCCTGGTGGTGCAAGCGGTTAAGTGTGCGTGCTCTGCTGCAGCGCCCTGGGGTTCGCTGGTCCGGATCCCAGGCACGCACCGACGCACCGCTTGTCAAGCCACGCTGTGGTGGCGTCCCACATAAAGTAGAGGAAGATGGGCATGGATGTTAGCCCAGGGCCAGTCTTCCTCAACAAAAAAAAGAGGAGGATTGGCAGATGTTACCTCAGAGCTGATCTTCCTCACAAAGAAATAATAATAATAAAATAAAATAAAATAAAAAGACAGTAAAGGAGGAACAAAAAAGACCTGAGACATATCTAAAACAGATTGCAAAATGGCAGATTTAAATCTAACCGTATCTATAATTACATTAAATGTGAACCAAAAGACAGACTGGATAAAAAAAGATCTAACCATATGCTGACACTCTTTAGATGAAAAGACACATATAGCTTGAAAGTAAAAGAGTGGAAAAAATATATCTTGTGAACAGTAAGCAAATGAGTGCTGGAGTGGCTACAATAAAAGACTACCAGAACTAATAAATGAGTTTGGCGAAGTTGCAGGATACAAGATCAGTATACAAAATCAGTTATATTTCTATATATTACAAATAGTTCAAAAATGAAAGTGCAAAACAATTCCATTCACAGCAGCATCAAAAAGAATAAAATACTTAGGAATAAATTTAATAAAAGAGCTGCGAGGACACTTGAAAACTACAAAACATCCCTGAAAGAAATTAAAGAAGATTAAATAGAGAAGAATTGCATATTCATGGGTTGGAAGACTTTATATTGTTAAGATGGCAGTTCTCCCTCAGTTGATCTACAGATGCAATGCAATGGCAACCCCTAATAAAAATCCCAGCAGGCTTTTTAAAAATAGAAATGGACAAGGGGCCGGCCCGGTGGCGCAAGCGGTTAAGTGCACGCACTCTGCTGCGGCGGCCCGGGGTTCGCTGGTTCGGATCCCGGGCACGCACTGATGCACTGCTTGTCAAGCCATGCTGTGGCGGCATCCCGTATAAAGTGGAGAAGATGGGCACAGATGTTAGCCCAGGGCCAGTCTTCCTCAGCAAAAAAAA